AAAAAGTAAGACATACTTTCAAATATGTTGTGGGTCTGTCATGTTTATCGGGGACGATAAAGAGTTCCTTTTAATATACTCTCTGTATAACTTATTATCCTAATTATATTAATAACTTATAATCTTAATTATATTAATAACGTATAATATTAATACTATATTAATATATTCTCAATTCGCTTTATAATTTATAATCTAAACTCTGAATATTATATTAACAATGTTAAAGACCTGCATTTAATTTCATAGATGCATTCGGATAAAATTCATATATCACAAACTAGTCAAAACATTTACTAAATTTTATCATCGGTATAAGGACATCATTCGTAAATATAGCTCAACATGCAGACTTCTTATACGTTCAGGTATTTCACATCCAATTTTTTATGGAAATATTCTTTATAAAGCACAAAAATGTCAGTATTCACCTCTGAAGCTAACAAAACCTTTAAATAGACTTATTAAGAAGGGATATAGTTACGATACTGTTGTCAGGTCATTAAAGATTGCATATTTTGGCGTTAATATTGATTCACTTATAGGGTCTTTGCATCGGCACTAAACACATTTATTTAAAAACCAGTTGTTGGCATGACACGGGTTATGTTCTTCTCATATATGTTATGATGGTATGATACTAAACCCCTAACGGGAAGGATTGTGCCTGATATTCATATGATGAAGACATAATCTTTCAATCAGTTTAATTGAAGTCTGGAGCTGGCATGTCAGTTAACTGCTAGTAGTCTGTTGTTATTTATGTATCATTGTCATTTTGTTTATTTTCTTTGGTTACATCTTCTGACATCAGACTCGGACTTCTCTTGAACTGAATTTTAATGTGCGTTTTGTTATGCGTTTACTTTTCTACATTGGCTAGAGGTATAGGGGGAGGGTTGAGATCTCATAAACATGTTTAACCCCGCCGCATTTTTGCGCCTGTCCCAAGTCAGGAGCCTCTAGCCTTTGTTATTCTTGTATTATTTTTAATTTTAGTTTCTTGTGTACAATTTGGAGTTTAGTATGGCGTTCATTATCACTGAACTAGTATATATATTTGTTTAGGGGCCAGCTGAAGGACCCCTCCGGGTGCGGGAATTTCTCGCTGCATTGAAGACCTGTTGGTGACCTTCTGCTGTTGTCTGTTCTATTGTCGGGTTGTTGTCTCTTTGACACATTCCCCATTTTCATTCTCAATTTTATGTTTAGTTATATTTACCTTGTACATTGTTTACATTTATATATTGTATTATGAAAATAACAAACATTTTTCAGATACTATAGATCTTTTTTTTTTATTATAAATGTGTTTTAAATAAATTGTTTGATGCACAAATTATCGAAAAAAGCAATTAAATTCAAATATATAGTAATTGAATTATCCATCCAATGAAACTTAATGAAGAGAAGAAAACTCTTTAAGATAAGAAACGCATTCCTAAATATTATAAAGGTGGTTACTAACACTACAGGGAAATAACTCTGTAAAAGTCAACTTAAAGTTGTAAAAATGTTCTATTGTTAAGGAAATTTTAAGTTTCTCAATGATCAAAATTAGTGTTTTTTAAACTGGTAAATATCCAAAGAAATTAGTTTCGATAAAGTATGTGGTTCTTGAATTTTTTATATTTTTGTCAAAGGGTCAAGAGAAATATTTTGTTAAAATGTTATGAAAATTAAGCGAGCTGAACTAATTTAAGTCAAGGTGTTTTGTACCACCTAAAAAGGATAGTCGAAAATGTCTTGTTACCGCATCAGATGAAAAAGTAAAATCACAAAAATACTAAACTCCGAGGAAAATTCAAAATGGAAAGTCCTTATTCAAATGGCAAAATCAAAAGCTCAAACACATCAAACGAATGATAACAACTGTCATATTCCTGACTTGGTACAGGCATTTCCTTATGTAGAACATGGTGGATTGAACCTGGTTTTATAGCTAGCTAAACCTGTCACTTGTATGACAGTCGCATCAAATTCCATTATATTGACAACAATGCGTGAACAAAACAAACAGACATAATAAGTAAAAATGTCAAAATAGGGGTACAGCAGTCAACATTGTTATAATCTTAATCACTATAAAAACAAACAAATATGTAACAAAGAAGCACAACAAGGCATATATCAAATTTAACAACCTCATTTTGCTTTTTTTTTTAATGATTTTATTTTTTGAATGATCGTGAAACTATTTTTCTTTATTAAACTGGTTGTAGTATCATTCCAAGATGTCAGAAGAAAACAGTATAACATTTTTGAAATAATTTATTCAGCACAAATTAAACACAGAGTTTAAGACATACATGTAGATCAACAGATTCAGAATGTTAAAAACTATAAATAACACTTTATGAATTTCACGCATCTGACGCGCTTTTCTGGATTTAGCGTCATCAGGAACGCTCAAAGCTAAATATTAGAAAGCCAATAACAATCGGAAATTATTCTTACTTTATTCTCATTTTCCTTGAAGACTAAGATATACAACTTGGTGTACCCAACTAGATCCTTTAATTTTCTTTCAAACATTTGATTAGCAAACCGTCACGTTTTGTTACCTGTTAATACCATGTTTAACTTGCAATCTATACAGTTAACCAGAAATGTTACTTATGTGAAGTAGTTAAGTAATTACATATAATGTTTTATATCCTTTATTTTTTTTTCTTTTGTTTGTTGGTTTGTTTGACCGGCTCAGTTGTTATCACCATTTCATTCTTTGTAATATTATACTGTTTAATCATACATGACTGAGTTCTGTGTTCTGTGATTAGGGAAAATTTTTGATGAAATAATAATTCTGATTCTTATGAGTGCATTTTTTATCAATTCGTTGACTTCAATGTATAAATAAGGCTCTAACAATGTTGTACTAGGTTGAACTTAGGTTAAGAAGACTACAGGAGACCTTCAAAAACACGGATACCTGTTGATCGATGTTCAAATGTCATAAATTAAACTAGAAAAGACATTCCATCCAATACAACAATTAAACACCAAGGGAATCGCATGAACTTGCAGGTGGAAAAAAGGTCCGCTGATGTAGGACCTCAGGTAATAGGTGCCCCCAGGTAACCGGGGGAACTTGTCATCGATTAATTCGCACGAAAATATAGTTCCCTATTTGGATCGATCTTAATACCAACTTTAAATGTGAACAAAATACCAAAGATGTTAACCAACTTGCACGGTCACTGCATGAAAATATTAATTTAAGGTATCAATAAACTACTTGAAAATCAGTCGTAATTTCCGAGTTGATTTTTTTTCTGGTAGTTTATAGTTCAAGTAAACGCAATGTTTAATAGTAGTTTACAAATAGTTTACTTGACGCAGTAAGTTCATGAATTGACACCTGATTTACTGTCCAGTAATTTTCGAATTTAACCAAGTTTAATATACATACAACATCAAATTTAATGTAGAGAAAATCTGTATAACATAATTTACTACAAATTAAAGTCAATAATATTCCAAACAGTAAGCTGTTTACTGTGGTTTTAAATCTGATTCAACATCGAGTTACAATTTTAATACAACGATAAACTTTCATTTAATGCAAATTGAAATCAAATTCAACTTCAAGTTTAAAGATTTAATGTGTGAAATAACTTGATTTACTTCAAATTTAAACTCATTTTGACTCCATTTACTATCGAAAATCTTTGTAATCTCCGTGTTTGGTGCACCAAATATACGCCAATTGACCTGCAAATTCACGACAGAAAACAGTATATACATGTATTTGCAGCTTTCATCCACATATGACCAGTAACAGTTCTTACAATCGAACCCTATTATAATGCAGGATATATTTGTGTATACAAACATACTTCAGTATAACAAACAAAGCCATAATTGTACACCCTAAGTTGCCACAACCCATAATTCGAATTAAACACTAATGATTGCCTCAAAATATAAGATATTACAGTGAGAGGAGCAACTGAAAATTCATAAAAAAAGCTGCCCGTAATGGAGATCTAGACTATGGCGAAATCCTGAATAAAAAAAAAACCAATTATCTAGAATCTTAGCTAAATTTATTCATTATTTTGAATTTACAAATACATGACAAATTAAAGTACTAACATTCCGTTCTATAATAATTTAAAAAAAAAACATCTACATACATAACAAAATTATAAAACTCTAATTTTGTGCATTTTTGTTTGTTTTTGCTAAAGCTGTTTTTAAGGAACAAAAACATACCAACTTCATGATGTAAAAGGACTGAGTATTTAAATATAATAAGCAGTAACATATTTGCAGAATCCTTTTTCTTGTGGTTGTTTTGATTGTCTTACCTAATTACAACTAACAACTATTTTAATAGAAAGAGTTATTTCCCTTTGAATACAAAGATTCGAGCTGAATAATAAAATCCAACGTAATTTGGAGGGTTTAACAAGCACCCAATTATATACAACCCCTTTCTTATTAAAATAAAAAAATCAAGATCTTAATACTTATTTTTAATAAGAATATTAATAATTATAAACGTGTTAACCTTTAAGCTAAAAAAAAAAACAACAAATTTCTTCAATTTTTAAAGATACGAAAAATATTCTTATTTTAACAAGAGTTGTTTCCCTTTCATTGTTTACTGTTTAATCAATTGAAGAAAACATGTCTATATGTTTTATCAGTGCAATTAATTTCAAAATATATATTTGATTATGCTCGCGTGGACATCAATATAATATAAAAAAATACACAATGAAGAGCTTCACCACTAAAACAAGGATTTTAAATGTAAAACCAACTGTTGTATACATGCATTGTATGATTGCTTACATCAGGGTACCAGATAAAATTTACTGCTATCTAGCTTTTTCTTGTTTATATTGTATGATTACGCACAAAAGAAATATTTAAAACATTGAAATTTAATATATACCAAGTTTCTTACTATTTCGAAGAATTACCGTTTTGTCTTCTTTTTTTTTACTACTATGTGCAAAAAATACACTGCTTATTTTCTCGGTATCCCTTCCATATTAAAAAAAAACAAGATTTTCCTTCTTAAAATGAAGATTCTATAAAAAAATATTTTTTTAACATTTATTTTCCGTGATGCTAGGTTACAAATCAAAAAAGTTATTATATTTTGTTTTGCCAATGAAATGTACATTGTTCGTGTTATTTTTAAATAGTTTTGCTCATTACGACAATACTGTTGTTTCAAGAAGCACTTTTCTTTACTATTTTTTATTAAAAACGTTCTCCTTCGAACCGCTTGTTGTTGTTGAAGACGGTATGTTGACATCCGACATGAAGATGTATTTTTTCTCTTTCTGTTCGCATCTATTTGATTTCGTGATGACTGAAATATGTTAATATAAGAATAGAACGATATATCAGATTTTTTGTTATTTTAGTTTGGGACAAATAATTGTGTAAAAATCAGTATTAACAATTACATGTAGCATTTACTTTGGTCGGTAAAACTTGCATACTTAAAACGTTAAAACGAATAAAGTTTAATCACTGACATTATTTTTCAACTATTTAAACACCCATTCATGTCCTGGCACGACTTCTGGTTTTATCCTTGAGGAAACTGCCCCAATCTTTCGTTTATGGTGCTGCCGTCTGCTTCTCTTGGTTAGTTGACCATCATGTTTTTGGCCTAGTTTTTTTACTAATTTATCAACATCGTCAGACCTCCAAGGCAGAGGTCTGACGATAAACGATCCTTCGTCTTATGAATCTGTTTGTTCATAAGACATGTTCTGCACCACTGCTTTTCGAGCCCTTTTCTTTTTGTTCCTCTGGTATACTGGACTTTTACTTTTAGGGCCTTTTTCTGTTGTTTAATTTCTAAAAAATAGAGAATAAAGCCCAAATCAAAATTCCTTGAATTTCATTTTGAATACATACGAATAGATTCCATATATGCCGTAATAACACTCTTTCAATAAAGATATTATTATCATTATTATTATTATTATTATTCTTATTATTATTATTATTATTATTATAACCTCAGCAAAAAGCAGTCTGTAAAAACAATACTAGTGATTACTGTGACAGAATGCATGCTGTATATTATTTATGAATATAATATAATCCAACAGAACACTCAATTCCTAGCATTTAATTTCTCTATCTCTCTCTCTCTCTCTTGAAAAGCCCGGCCGGCGAGAGAGGGAGAGAGAAATTCTACCGCTACATCAAGTGAAGGCCTGCCGAGCTTTTTGAGCATTGAAAATTCAACTGTCGAGAGTGGAGAAATATTATATTGCATGAGATTCGGTGTTGGATTCTGTTTCTATTTTGATTTTTAGACGGTAGTAGACAAACTTTTTCACTGATCTGCAAAATGAGGTATATATATATATGTGACGTCGTAAGATATGGTCACCTTTTTCCTTTTTTTATTGTAGCGTCACAAAAGGAATTTAGTGAAAAGCAAAAAGAAAATGAAGTTAAAAGGGGGTTCCCTGTTTAGAGTGATATAAGTATATAATATTAAATAAAACTCCCGTCTAAATCCGCTTCTTATGTTGACTGTAATATCTGAATTGTTCACCATAATAAAAAATCAGTTATTACTCATCTGGCTGTACACAGCCATTTTCTTGTTATGTTCTTCTGGTTTACCAGTTTCGTCTCTTCGTTTCTTTGCTTTGAACGATTCAAAATTTGTCTTTATCCCTTCTACAAAGAAAAATCTACTTAAGGCAATTTAAAAGAAATATGTTTTTAACATACAATTGCTTGTCCCCATTTGAGACTAAACAGTGTCACTTGGTTAGTCCATGGTAGAATGTTTTGATGTGATATGATCGAAATCAAAATAGATCTATTAAAGTTATATGATAGTATGCATTTGCTAGTAAGTGATCCATTAACATAAAACTTATTTATAATATGGAAATTATATGGCGTTTCAAAATATTACTGAAAGTGTCTGCTTATATGCCCGTGCAAATGCGTAAATAAAGTAATAATATAAGGAAAGAAATAATATGTATATTTATTTTTCAAAATCATGAGTAAGAAAAGGAGTCCAAATTTTACGTCGCAGGAGATTCAAAAAGTTTGAATGCAAAATGGAGAAGAATAAATCTAAATATTTTGCCGACTGAGCAACACAACTATTATTTTTATTGTAATGAACATTGTACATGAAATTATATATGAAAAGTAATTAGAATTCTAGTTGATAATCATAAGACCATCATAAGTCATGTCGCGAGCTAGTGTCTTACGTTTACGACAAAAGTTATGATATATCGTAACTTGGGACACTTACGAAAACATATCTTACGACTATGACATGTCCTAAGACCACCATAAGACATGTCTTAGTCATATATAAGATACTTTCGAAAAACAGGCCCCTGGTTATGGGGTTACTCATTTCAACACTTGGTCCGAAATCATATAAAGTGAATTCAATGGTAATTTGGAACGTCATGTTTCGAAATAAAAAGAGGTAAGATACAGGTGTGTAGCAACAAGGGATCGACCATGTGATTTCAAAGAGGGGGGGGGGTATGGTTATTTCCTAAAAAAATAATCTGATACCAGATTTCCCCCATACCTTATAGTGTTAAATTTTGCAAAAAATATGTTCGCGCTTTGGGCGAAAATAAAATTCTGTCTCAGACAAAAAACCATACCCCCTTCCCCCCTTAAAGTTAAATGGTTGCTCCCTAAAACAGCACAACAAAAATACCCTCTTGTAAAAAAAAAAGCCGACAGTATCAATGTAATGTTAACATAAGCTAGGATTTATTCAGTAACGTAACACTCTTTTCCAAAATAAAAAAAGTATCAACTGAATTTGACTACTTTTAACTTTTTAGATGTCATTCTTAATATGACAGTTAAAGATGCCTTCTAGGCTAAGCTAAAGCAGAACTGCAATTTCGACTATTTTGTTTTTGGGGTTTGGGGGGGGGAGGGGGAGCTGGGGCTACAAACCTCTAACAACACCCTCCACTTCATCAGGATATTGGGCCTTTTACAAATTCTATGATGAATCCAGACTTCTCTTTGTTCTCTGCAGAATTACATCTGAAAAAAAGTAATTTAAAAAATAATCTTACTGTAAATCAAAGCTTCCTTAAATAAGAGTGTAACAAATGTCGGTAAAATCATCAATTTGTTTGAATCTGAATAGAACTATGATTACCAATTACACATATATATCCTGCAAACTTTTCACTTGAATTGACCCAAAAGCTGTGTACAAAATTAAGATTTATACTCGAATAAGTAGAATTTCATAATTAATGATTCAAAATAGATAATTTATATGATCAAAATTAAATCTGTTTCAATGTCGTAAATCACAAGTAATCGAGCATTTTTCCTAAAACCGTATCGTTTAATGATGAATGTGGACATACATTACATATTAAATTAAATTGGTTTGAATAACAAACCATGATATTTTTTCAATTTCCAAGGAAACTTTTAAATCATTTAATTTCATATACATACTTTAAAATACTGCCAGTTTCGTTCTTTATTCTCCAGATGAAATCCTTTTCAGTAATACCCTGCTGATAACCATCCCTTCTTGATTGCTGAAAGGAAAAAGATACGCTCTTAAGCATTTAAATTGCATGCATCAAGAACAAATGAGAACTGAAATTATATAATTATATGTGTAGAAAGTCGAAAACATAAAATATATATACATGTACATTCTTAACTTCACGACTTCATTACGTTCTAATTAAAACACGACAACATGTAATCAAAGTGTGTAAAATTTTGCAATATTTATACAATTAAAACACAAAATGTAAGTGTGCAATATGTATTCGAATCTTGTGATGACCACAATTACTTCTTAGTACATAGTCCGAAAAAAAAATTGTAATCCGTGAAAAAAGGAAATAAATGACATTTTGCTAAGTATTGAATTTTTAGGTTCGCAAACTTAGTGAATATTGTTATGATACAATACATAAAAATGAAAATTGTATAAACTATCCCCTACAACATGTACATTATGCAATATTTTGAAAAGGTTAATTAAAAGTTGAACAATGAATAATTACTTACTGCAATTTGTGCAGGGACGTTAATCTTTTGGCTTTGCTTTTTTCGTTCATTTGTTTTTGATTGTAGTATTTGAATCATAATATCCACTTTCTTTTCAACATTAATTTGTTTTTCTTGCACTTTTACCAGTTGCCTTTTCATTTAGATGACTTCTTTGTTAAAGTGTCAATCTAAAAATAACAATTATAACTAAACCATTTTAAATACATGAATTACAAAACTCAATGAAGTTCATCATTTTTAAATAAACCAAAAGACTATTAAATCAATCCGTCATTCAGAATATATATGTACCTAAAAAATTTGGTGAAAATATCATATAAGATATGCTGATTAGATAGGACATAATAAATAATTTTCCTTATCCATAATTAATCATTATAGTACTTATTATTCAAAACCTTAAATGCTTTTTTATTTATTCATTAATTGATAGAAGCAGTATTTCACCATAATATAAGACAAAGTATATCTATATGTCAATTGTCCGACTCAGAGGCGCTTTCATTTTTCTTTAATCTGATAGCTTAAACTATTTCTAAGCGTACAGGACAAGTTGTAAAAGAGATTTCGTTTCTTTTTATCTTCGTGGGGAATTATTTTCTGAGCAGATTCAATTACCAGGAATGCTTCATCACATCTTATATGAATGAAGTAGATAGATAAATACTTTCATTCACTATATATAATTGATTTGTCCAGATTTCAAATATCAGTATTGTTAATTTGAATTTAGTTGCAAAACGAATTAATGACCATTTTATCCTGTATTTTTGCACACCGTTGGTTTCGAAATCAGGCAGTGGTTGAAACCTATGAAGATATGAAAACTTAGGAAAAAAATATACAGGAATATCGTTAACCAAAAACAAAATGAGTATTAAAGCTATGTATCTTTTGGGTACAAACAATAGATCCAATTTGGTTAATGATGTCTTGCTGTGTGCAATTTCATTTTCAAAACATTCGCCTTTGGTTTTCTTTTGGCCGTTTTATTCAAACAATTCTATTTAAGCAGACGTGCAGACACATCATCTAGCTATTAGCTGAGGTAACTGCCATAAAACTAATATTAGTTACATTTGCAACAATTCTCGACTTGATATACAAATGTATACGATTACGAAAGTTTTATTTTGATTCGGTTATTTTAACTTTAATAAACATTTACTAAAGCAATTATGTGACAGTCATTGTATTGATATATACAGCTTTAATAATAAAGGGCTTTAATGATAAATGCGGCATCACTTTTAAAGAAAACGACGTTATAAATTGCTAGTACTTAAAACAAAAGATACACGAAAGAATATTTGTCCCGGAAATGTGAAAAAAATGTTTGAACCTTTAAAGGAAAAAGTTTTTTACACACAAAAACATCTTGTTTTTAAATATTTTTTTCAATGTGTGTTATGATTGTCACTTGTCTAACACTGTTCTAACAAAAACCCTTGGTACTTGGGAACAGGACACTTTTGTTTTAGACCTCCCCTTTTTTCTGTAATTTGTTATATTTTTGGTTTTCTTATACTTTCATTTTTTTTTCTCGCGTTTTTCTGTTTCATATGAACATAAATATACTAGAAATAACTTGTATTTGCAATTTTATATCAGTTCTAAATTAAACTTGGAATTGATAGATAATAGCAAATACAAGTTATTTCTAGTATATTTATGTTCATGTAATACAAAAAAAATGCGAAAATAATTGAAATGAACAGAAAACAAAAAATAACAAATTTTAGGAAAAAAGGGGGCGGGCTAAAAAAAAGTGTCCTGTCCCCAAGTACATTTGACAAAAACGTATCCTTTGTAAGCAGACAGATAGACAAAATTAAATCATAACATATTACATTTAAGAAACACTTAATTGTTGGAATTTTCATCGATTTTTTAAAGTTTTACCTTGTTTGCTGATGCTGTAGTCTGTTCTTTTCTTGATATACTCTCTGTGACAGGAGTAGTTGACCTGCTAGAACGAACTTCTCCAGATAAAGGTGTTCTAAGGAAAGTCGGAATGATTGTCCTGCTGGAACATAGTGTACTTGCCAAATTGGTTGGGGTATTAGAATAACTTCGAATTCACGGTGTACTAGAACGACTGACTGTTACTCTACTGCATTCCAAAACACTCATGGACTCATCGGGTATATCCTCTGGCCCGCCACATGCTCCTGCCATATTATCACTGGTTGTTGTTGTTTCCCCTTTCTGACTTTTGCTGCTGTATTCATCTTCGCCAGATGAATAGTAACGTAGATGAAGGCTTTCTTTCATCTTCCATAGACACGTATATATGTATCAGAAAAAACATCATGAAAAACTACCTATCAGATTTATACAAGTTGCTTTCTTTAAAATAAAAAAAGCAACACGTGAACCCGAGACCACTGACTGGTCACCAAATATTTTTTGCTGAATTTATTTTTGCTTTTGATTTGAAATAAATGACAGTTGATAGAATGAGGTAATAAAAAAAAATTAAATTACCTTTATTGAAAATATGTTATTGTGTGTAGATTCGTGCACAAGTCAATTAAAATCATTGCTGGATTTTAGTTGTAAATAGAAAATTGTATACAATTATCATTTTAAACTACCTTTTAAGGCTTGACTATTTTATTTATTACTTGGGAGTGTACATCATTATTTCTCCGTTTTTTATATACAAAGACCTAATCCTATTCCAATTCTCAATTTCTGCAAAACGGACGAAAAAGACCAACAGATCTAGACAAACAATAGTACACAAAACACAACATAGATAAGAAATGCAAAAAAATTCACCTTCGACGAGTGAAATCAATGTTTATGCATGCACGTACTTTTCTTGCGCAAGAAATAGTAAATGGTTAGCACTCACACTGATATTCTGGAAAAAAATACCATGCATTTGCGTCATCACGTATATTTATTCTAGGTTCAAATCTAATGTTAGTTGAATTCGGATGTCAAACTGCCTACCTCAAGTGGTTTGACTGCGGATTCATTGCCATTCAATACGGCATTTGTGTTAATTTATGATAATTCCTTTAAACACTTAACATTATTAACACTTATCAATGGACAGAAATCAGAAAAAAATATTAATTCAATCTCAAGCTTCCAGTGTCTTTCAGATATATATAGATGTTTAGGTTCACAAATAAGCACAATAAACAGGCTCAGATCCAGGATTTGATGTAAAGGGGGAGTTGGGTGCCCCTGAGATGGAGAGTAGGAGGACAAAACTTTAACAAAAAAATTTGGCTGTAATTTCACCTATAAATTACATTTTTTTTTCTGTCGCTGGGAGGCGCGCGCCTTGTGAATCCGCCCCTGATAAACAATGTACTTTAACTTCTCCTATCCGACATCTTAATTCAAATTACATTCTTGAACCTGACTTATAAAACACTTGAATACTGCCGAATTGCAAATAAAAACCTATGTAAATATATGCAGTATCAGACCTTTTTCAGTTAAACCCCCCTTTTTATACATATACAGCTGCCAAACAGATTTCCAATAATGTCTTTTTAAAACCCCCATATCTATAGTTCTTCGATATTTAGGTGAAAGATTTAATCCCACCACATGGATGCACGGAATATCAAATGAACATGTGATCTCCACCGAAGTTTAAAATTACGTTTATTAACAGCTTTTGATAGGCTGATATTTTCTCTTTTTGTTAATATAAAACGCCTATAAACCACACATCCCATATAGCCTAATATGGGCCGACACTATTTTAGTGTTTCTGCAGTTAAAGCCATTGATGGTCATCCTAAGATGCATTACTTTTATATTATCAAATAAAAAAAATATTTATATATGTATCAATATATTCATATTAAAATTCTTCATCAATTAAATTATTGGTATTATGCAGATCTGCCAGCATCATGGGTACTGACCCCCTACGGATCCAGAAAGTATTTGTAAAATTCAATAGGGGGATGAATCCGTAAAGGGGGACTAGAAGGTCAGTATCAAACCATATAACTTATAGTATGAGCTAGATATAAGAAGATGTGGTATGAGTGCCAATGAGACAACTCTCCATCCAAGTAAAAATTTATAAAAGTAAACCATTATAGGTCACAGTACGGTCTTCAACACGGAGCCTTGGCTCACACCGAACAGTAAGCTATAAAGGGCTCCAAAAAAATTACTAGTGTAAAACCATTCAAACGGGAAAACCAACGGTCTAATCTATATAAAAAACGAGAAACGAGAAACACTTATGAACCACATCAACAAACGACAACTACTGAACATCAGATTCCTGACTTAGGACAGGTGCAAACAAATGCAGCGGGTTTAAACGTTTTAATGGTACCAAACCTTCACCCTTTTTCTGAAACAATAGTGTAACATCACAACATAGAAAGACACACTATAACATTTCAACTGAAATAGTTTAACTCAATCAAAGGACATATTAACACAATTGAACATACACTTAACAAATAAATTTGACCTATGACACAATGTAAATACAAAATAAATAAACTAAGGGAAGAATAATAAAAGTAACATATTATATCGGTAAGAAATGTTAAACAATTAAAGAAAAACAATATGCTCGAACAAAAATACCATCCATTTGCAATATAGCACATATAATGCTTGAAATATAAAGACATTAATATTGTTTTACTTATTCAGGAAAAGATGCCAGCAATGTAAACGTGACCTCTCTGCCGTATATTAAAATAGTTTTTTTCTGCCTTGTTCTTTATTGCATGCCCTTGCTTCTTTTTATGTTGCTAGGAAAGTATTCGGACGGAGAATGAAGGATACAAATCATAATTGTCATCAAAACATATTCTCCAAGAAAATTTATTAACTTAACGATGAACACAATATAAAATTAAGGAGATGTGGTATGCTTATCAATGAGACTACTATCCATTAAAGTTCATATGATGTAGATTTAAACAATTATAGGCAACCGTGCGTCCTTCAACAATGAGAAAACCCCATAGTCGGCAATAATAGGCCCCGACAAGCCAACATTATCATGACCCATCAACAGTTTTGCAATTTTTATCGACAGAAACGATTTTGTACCATAAATTCACATAAACTTCAACTAACAATACGTATAAAAGTTATCGATGCGCTTCAAAGAAATGAACTAAAACTGTTCCGGATCTTAAAGGATAAGCAAATCATGCTTCACATATGACACCCGTCGTGTTGTTCATTTATGAACACATTCGATAAAAAGTCTCATTCCGTGATGTAACATTCGAGGAAAACAGGACGAGTTGTGATCAAGACAATACTCTAATGAACATATCGGTGGTAATCTGTGACACATATATTACTGAACTGTAACCAACACGTGATGGCGTCCGTAACTTTTTCGAAAGGATAACTGTAACTATATCACGTGAAACCCATGGGTTAATAGCTTCCTTTTAATTATCAAGAAGACCCATGGGTTGACAGGGGGTCTAGAAACGTGATCACCCCTTGGTCTTCTTTCGATGGCAGAAAACCGTATCCAAAATAAAGGCGTCCGTTGGGCTGTGTGGGATGTATAAATTCGCAACCACGTCCGGTCAGAATGAGAACGTAATTCCGATGCCGGTGCTCTTTTCATGGTATGAAATCTTGCAACAAATCTGTGAGAGGACGGGCGTTGGCCAGTTGTAAGGCTTAATTTCTGTCCCTTTTTCCATATACCAACATTTTCAATTGACATTCCAAATTTCCAGCATCATCCCGGTCGACCCCCCAGGACCTAACTATTCACGGTATTCATTTTGTATTTGTCTCGTCTTGAACATGCATGAAACGTTTGCTACTGGACGTTAATAAACAGCAATAAATCTATCCAAGAAATCATGATAGGACATACACGCTCTGAAATATCGTATCTAAAGGAAGCTATACACGAGAACTGCAGAGATACTGTTGCATAGAAATTAAAAATAAGGTAGTTGGAATCATCTTTTTTATGTCAAGTTTTGTTTGAAATCGACCATCATGGTCAATTTCTAGATGTATAAGTTAAGATGAGAGACAAACTTAAATGTGGTATTCTTTGTTTCGAGTTTTATGCGATAGATCGATGCGTTCGAGGAAGTCACCAACTGCATTTATTGTTAATTGCTTAATGTTCAGTGGCAAATAGTTCATGTGTGTTCAGGAAGGGCACGACTACCTATACTTATGTATCCCAAACAGCCAAATGGAAGCCCCCGACTGGAGCAAGGATTTTACTGCCGGAACGATAGAAGTCCAAGGAGGACAATATTTCTGAATCCCGGTCAACCCTTGGGGTCGTTTATCAAGTATGATTTTGCCCTCCCTAAAACAAGATATCTGTATCTTCGTTGGCTTAGCAAAATTGGAAAAATTCTTTCAATTTGTGTTTGAAGTTTAAAATGGGAATACTTGTGTAAAAAAGTAAAAAAAAATTATTGGATTGCAAGAGAAAAAATGTACACTAAAAAATCTATGGAATATTTTTGTATCCACATCTGATTCGTAGTACATCTCTTACCTGTCATCACAAGAATGTACATGTATGCAAACACAAAACGGTTCTGTAAGGATTTATTCATTATTTAATTATATTCAGGTTCATATCTCTGATGAAATATGTTTCGAAAAATAGTAAAATATAAACAAACAATTAAAAACTATTATGCGTTTTTTTTTTAATTCTATAAAGGATCAATACAAAAAAAAATGTTTTCCTTGTCTAAACCTGTATACTGTAGAATACGTTATGACATTATAAAATGTATTTGCCTCCAACAAATGGTTAACTCATATATTAGAATATAATTTATTTGTTTTTACATCGCCTTTCTTGTAAGCTTTTTCAGCTAGGTAGACATATTTCCTTTTAGTTTATTAATACAGGGTGCAAAAATAAATAAAAGTAAGAGAAAAAGTGTATGATATATATATATAGTATCATATAAAATTGAGAATGGAAATGGGGAATGTGTCAAAGAGACAACAACCCGACCACAGAACAGACAACAGCAGAAGGCCACCAACAGATCTTCAATGCAGCGAGAAATTCCCGCACCCGGAGGCGTCCTTCAGCTGGCCCCTAAACAAATATATATACTAGTTCAGTGATAATGAACGCCATACTAAACTCCAAATTGTACACAAGAAACTAAAATTAAAAATAATACAAGACTAACAAAGGCTAGAGGCTCCTGACTTGGGACAGGCG